GTTTCCCACAGGCCGGCACGTCCGTGCGCCGCCGCTTCAGGAATCCGAGATGAAGACATCGTAGTCATTAGCACCTTTTAATAACTACGCAGGATCTGGGTGTGTGTGCGTGATTAAGAGGCCAAAAAGAAGGAAGTAGGACGGACTAGGATCGCTCGGTGGTTTCGTAGACGTCCAGTGAAAGCACAGGCCAGAGCATCACACCTTAACACACCATGGCAGCTCTGACACGTGTAGGGGGGTGAAATTACCTGGGCCTCCCTTGCTTGCTCTTGGTCTATCAGGCTGGATTCCCATCCATTTCTTTGCAGTCAACTCTGACGTTGTGTTTCCCAAGTTGGGTTTTTATTAAACTTCCTTCACACGACGTGTTGCTGGTTCTCTAAAGTTACATCAGTAAAGAAACTTCCCATGTAGTTCTGGTCCTGTTTGTGCTAAATTTGGCAAACTGGCTTGTTCATTTGGAGGGTGTTTTGATAAAAGAGGCAAATGTGACTGGTTCCAAGTGTCGTGGAGTCCAGTTGAAAGAAAAAAAATAATTTGCCCAGGTAGAACGTATTTTATTTCAAGTACAGTTAAATAAACAGCTTTCTATTATGATGGTTTTATTTTAAAGTGTATGAGAGAGAGATTCGAATTACAGACTTTTCAAGCAATTAGATTAACTGGCTTTCAAAATTGGCTTTAGTTTATAGCCATTATCAGATCAGACTTTGGTGGTCTGTATATAAGTAGTAAAAGTTACTGTCTCATCTTTTTAATGGGCAGATATTTCACCTGTTATCAACTCTCTCACTTCAGAGACCTTTTAATGTATGGAGCTGTTGTTTGAATACTGGTTTTAATGTGCTTTGCTTTCATTCCATAAAAACCTGCAATACAGTTTGCTCTCAAAAAGATTCAGCGCAGTTCAGTACTGTGATACAGTCATGTCAAGGTACAAGTTGAAGGTGATTCAAATGCTTCTCCTCCTTAGTAATGACAGAATTCTGTAACGGCCAACCTTATAATTGTTGTTGTTGAGTTGAGCAACCTGTTCAGCCCAGCGTTTTGTGACTTGCTTTGTAATTTGTCAAATGTGGAAACAAATACAGCTTTTTCACCTGAGCAGTGTTTGCGTTCAGAGTTTGAGAATGTGCCTCTTATAAAAATGCTGTTACTTCACATGATGCAAGTACTTGTTCCACTTTGGGAAGCACACTTCTTTTATCCTACACCCAGTTCAGCTGAAATTATTTCTTATCTGTATCGAACTTGCATGTGCCATGTATCTGGAAGCACTTGTTTAAAATATACTTAAATTATTATACTGCGAAGTTATATTTTGCAGCATTTTTAGAATTTTATGTTCTTGGCAAATACCTAGAAAGCATTTACTGATTGTTTTTTCATAGATCTTTCTATCCATTTGCTGCAATGTTGAAATAGGAGCTCAGAGGGTGAATGGTTGTTCCTACAGTAATACTGGTTTCATTGTGGTTCCAAACTGGCTGCCTTTTTCTTAGCTAATTCTTAGCTGTGTCTTGGGCTATGCTTATTAAACAGCTAGTAACAACTAGCTCAGGTTTTGAAAATGTCTTTGAAGGTGTGTTTGACATTACTAGCTGTCTGTAAACTAGGGATCTCAAAGCTCTTCCAAAAACTAAGTAGGCCTGATGACACATTTGTGAGGTATGCATGCATTTCCTAGCTGTGACTTTTCTGAATTTGAGTCATAGTCCAGAGTAAAACCCAGGCAATCTTGCTTAATCACTAAATTAGAAATATTCTTTGAGTAATCTGAAACTGCACTTCTCCCTTCAGAGTTTTTGAAATCTGATTTTTGGTTATATTTACAGAGGTTTACTGTGTTACAGCTGTTGCTGTGTTATGTTCAGTAGAGGTTAGCATTAAGTGTATATTCTGTGTGATTTTGAAATCGTTACTAAAGTGGACTGTCCAGTTGCTCGTGACTAAAATGGGAACTGGTGACTCATTCAACAGGAGCTCCAGCAGAATCAGCAAAAGTACAGTGTGGGTAGGTGTGTCCGCTTGGTAACAAAATGGAATGGCCTCCTGCAAACTAGTGCGCAGCCTTTTATGGCTGAAATGGGATGAAAGTAAGCCAGTTCTACTCATTGTGAATTTTACTGAGAGCAGTTTATACCTGGTTTCAGATGTCTTCTAGTATTGTTTTACATTCTATAGTGGAATTGCAGTGTGGTGTTGGTTAAGCAGAAATCTTTAAATTTTTTGTACTTCTGCTACACAGAAGAGATGAGGAGGGCTGTTGAGGGTTTCCGTGCTTTGTCTTTATGGAGAAATTGTGTTGGTCTGAGATACATGCTCACTATTAGCGAAGGCTAACGTGGACCCTCTGTGAGTCATGTTTGGGAAGTGTGTCCAGGAACACCCATTTTTGAGGAGTGTCACAATTATTCTAGAAGCAATTAGTGTGAATTAGAAAAAGCCTCGTTTCTAGTAAAGGAAGCCCTGTTACTACTTCTGGAAATAATGAACTGTTTGTTGCTGGCACTTTTGCTGGTGCTGGCAGGAATAATTCTAATGACTTCCAGGGCAATACTGAAGCATTAGATGTTTCTACTGTGGCAAGTCTGATATCCACAGTTCTTATTTTTTTGGCCTTTTTTTTTTTTTTGTAATGTAAAGCCTTCCAATGTTTTTTATTTCGCATTGTCATTATCTAGATTGTCTTTTATCTCCTGCTTAATTTACACTACAGTTTGTGAAAGCTTTGTTAACTTATTTAAAATAAGACATGCAATCCTTATATTTTTGTGGCTTCACCTTAAATAAGTTGTTGACTTGCTACTGTCATGTGAATATGGTAATAGTATTAATAGGTTATTTTTTTGTACAAGAAAATGTTAGATGTCTGTCTCGTTAACTTCTACAGATATCTTTCAGGGAATAGAATCCAACTTCACTTGTAATCTGAAAACATGTCAAGAAAGGATGTAAAACATGACATACCAGCTGAACAAGAGGCTGATTGCAAGTTTTCTTTGGCCATGATATCCAACAACATAGCTAAAGATAAAAGCAGCACTTAAAGAACAAACCATGAAAGACAGATTTTCACAATGTGATTGGCCCTTGGTCCTTCTCTAAGAAAAGCAATTAACTGGCATGGTTACTGTTTTTAAGCTAATACTAAACTGATTTCAGTCTTGTTACCATCACACTACTCTGCTGTATGCAAACTGCAGTGACTTGAGTTAGAACCAATGGGTGTGACCTCAGCTATTTCCTGGGATGTTTTTCAGTGTTCCTTCAGACACACAGGAGTGATGATGAAAAGGAGCGAATGTAGGTGATAAAATATGTCTGCCATAGTTGAGAACTGCTGCTCTTTCTTCTTTAAATACCTTGTTGACTTGAAACATCACAGACATGTCTTGTTGCTTTGAAGGGACATGTGAAAACTGAGGAAGTCTTGATCCTTCCCTATCTAAATACACAGAGATCTTAAATTCAGGCTTTGAAAAGTTAGTTATGGAGTTTTTCTGGAAAAACTGCTCCACTGGAGTAACAAAACCTGGTTTATGCTACTTCATTTTGCTGTTTTAATGCTTGCTCTTTCATTGACCTTGTGTGCCGTATTTCATCATGAGCTTTTAATATATATAGATGTATAATTTCAGATTTTCCAAATTAAGTAAGTGCTAGTTTTTAAGTCTCTTTGAACTGTCCCTTGCCTGGAAGTTCATCACAGGTCTTATTTTGTCACCGAGGAGCTGTGTGGAACAGCTGCCTGAACCAGGCCTGAACTCCACCTAGCAAAGAAATTTTGTCAGTTAAGGGGTATTGGTGATGTAGGAGTATGGATGTTCATGTTTGCAAGAGCCCTCCTACAGGCACAAGCTGTAGTCCTAAAGGCATTTTTATTGATACACCTACGTGATGTGGGAGTGGCCAGCTGATTGGCACAACTGTTAGAACTTTTTCTCCTGTGGAATAGGTCATAACTGCCATCACTTGATACATTTTCTCCTCTCACCATACCGTTTTTTCATAGTGGGGTCCAATCGTTTAGGCTACTGGGATTTCTACAGCTTGTTCAGCTGGCTTGTGCAGCTTTTGCTGAGCAGTTTTTGCCAGTTTTCACTTGCATAAAACAGAGTGGGGTTTGGTTTGCATCTTGTTGATGGGGCTGGACTTAAAATAGTAAAAAAATTATGAATAATTGTACTTCACATGCTATTTGTGTGCTTATTAAGATAACTTTAGAGTTTCGTACTAATTCTGTGATGTTTTTCCAGCTGAACGAGCTTTGGATACCATGAACTTTGATGTCATTAAAGGCAAACCAGTGCGCATCATGTGGTCTCAGCGCGATCCGTCTCTACGCAAAAGCGGTGTAGGAAACATCTTCATCAAAAACTTGGACAAATCAATTGATAACAAAGCTTTGTATGACACATTTTCTGCTTTTGGAAACATCCTGTCTTGTAAGGTTAGTGGAAAATTATTGGTGTGTTTAATGGTTTGACATAAAAAACCCCTCAATTTATGCTGGAAACATTCCATGGGTATTACAACAAGGTTTTTCTTTAATAGGTGGTATGTGATGAAAATGGATCCAAGGGTTATGGATTTGTACATTTTGAGACACAAGAGGCTGCAGAAAGAGCTATTGAAAAAATGAATGGTATGCTGCTTAATGACCGCAAAGTGTAAGTATATAAATGCATAGTTGGGGATCAACAGACTGAAATTCATTTTACTGTGGACAAATACTTGAAGCTTATGTAGGAAAGGCAGGTTGTTCTAAACATTTCTAAATTTAAAGAGGATTTAGAATTTTGGTGCTAGGAATACTGTGAATTGTATCATCTGCCTATTTTAAAGGCAGGTTAAGTTCAGAAAATGCTAATAATGGACTCTAGGGAAAAAATTCCTGTATTAGTTGTCTTACAAGCCAATGATGTAATGAGGATTTGGGAATTTCTCTGTTTTTCTGATCTTACTGGTCTGAGATAAAGTACAATCCATCAGGTATTCTGAATAATACTCCCTTTATAAGAGTTGTGAGATAGTACGTTATCCATATTTTGGATGAAACTTAAAGCTCTAGGGTTACTCGGTCCTGAATAGCAGTCGGATTATGCTCGTGTTTTCCTGTGAATGTCTGTTAATAGGCATATGTAGGAAATAGGAGTAGAAAATAAAACTTCCAGAAACATGTTTAAAACATTATCGCTGTTCTGTACTGTAGAAAAAAAGTTAATTTGGCTACCTGGTCTGAATAGCAGTCGGATTATGCTCGTGTTTTCCTGTGAATGTCTGTTAATAGGCATATGTAGGAAATAGGAGTAGAAAATAAAACTTCCAGAAACATGTTTAAAACATTATCGCTGTTCTGTACTGTAGAAAAGTTAATTTGGCCTACCTGGTTAGTGATATCTAGGCTTGAGGTGGGGGCAGAAGGGGGATGCCTAAGGGATTGTTATGGTATTTGGTATAGTTGCAAAAGAACAGCTTTGTAAATACTTGAGAGGGTTTGACAAGAGAATAACAGAAATCAGCATCAGCTTACCAGCATGGATTTTTTTTTTCCACGTGGAAATGGATGGATCAAACCACATCCAGGGAGAACACATATTTTTTGACATGTGTTTTCCTGCTTGTCCTGTGCTTGACTGGCATACTATGGATGTTTTTACTCAGCTTCCATCCTTACACAACCTTTTTAAATTAGTAAAAAAGGTCAGCGTGTAGTCATAAAAGCACACGATTTAGGTAAACTTTGGTAAAATGAGAATTAATTTTGCTTGGAATTTCTATTCCAGCTAGGCTTTTGAAAGTGAATAAATGTACTTCACTCACTATCAAAATCTGCTGAACACATTGCACTACATTGTTACCGTTCTACTATACCTACTATAAATTGGGTGAAGTAAAAATTTAAGAAAGTGTTGAATTACTGTATTGGATTTGTCAAATTTGGAACTGTAAAGTTGGACAATACAATAAAATTTGAGACCAAAAGTCTACCACAACCAGAAATTGATGTTAGCCAGGTAATGTCTGTCCTAGAGCAGTTCCTCAGGTTGCAGCGTTCAGCTTCTGTTCTTTCTCTGGCGGTAGGAACTGAACTTTGGTGTTCCCAGCCAATTTGCAATGGTATTTGACTAAAGAACAAGTTGAACTATTGTTTCTCCATGCCTATTTTAAACAAAACAAATAAAAGTCTTGCTTGGGTATAGGCTGGAAAGGTGTGTAAAGGGAGTGGAGACGTTAGTTAAATATCCCTTGCTGGATTAAAAGCTGGATTGGAGAACAGTAACTGCTCTAAGGCTGCCAAGTCTTTCGTATAGCAGAGGGATTACGCTGATACCTAGAATTCCTGCTTAGCCACTTTACCTAGTACTCTTTCCTGTTGTCCAGCTCCTGTTGTCAAAGGCTGTTTTATAGGAGTGAACAATCTTGTGTCTATAATGAACAACAAGACTGATTTGATTAAGTCTCATTAAGAATAATTAAGAATAAAATATGATGCCAGAGGATTACAGTAAATTTTTGAACATTGACAGACTTGCTTTAACCTACACTGTTCTGTTCTCATGCAACTAGATTTGTTGGAAGGTTTAAATCCCGCAAGGAACGTGAGGCAGAGCTTGGAGCCAGAGCAAAAGAATTCACCAATGTTTACATCAAGAATTTTGGAGAAGACATGGATGATGAGAGACTTAAGGAACTCTTTGGCAAGTTTGGTAATGTCTTAAGCTTTAAGTTTATATGAACATGAGGGAACTTCAGCTCACTTCTTATATCTTATCTGTAGAGTGCCTTATAATAACAAGGAATCAGCTGTCTGCCTGATTTTGATTTAAAAAACAAAAAAAAAGGCACTGAAAAGTTGGTACCTAATTCTAGTGTCAGATTCAAAGTGCTGTAATATCCACTGCAGAATTTTAAATAGCCAGAATAGCATATATAATCCTGCTACCAGAGTTGTTTCTGATAATCTGAAAATAATGGGTCTGAATAGTCTTTTGAATGGGTTTTGGCAAGATTTTCAAGTTGAAAGTAGAATTGTTTTCACATTTAGTACAGATTGATGTTATGAATTCCCTACAGGATACATGACAAATGAATTTGCTATTGCTTTCATTGACCTGCAGACTTACGTGTACTCAGGGCGTCTCTGCTTTCATTATTCAGTTGCATTGTTGTGGTTTATCTAATATGAAATTATAAAGAATTTTTCTGTTGGCAAGCTGTGTGGTTCTGTCTTGAGCCTCAGTTATGCACGGGGCAGGTGTATGATCATGATCTAGTAATGTATATGATGTGTCACCCTCACAATAGGAAACAGCAAACTCAGTTCAGTTACAGATTGTTATACTGGTTTGTAGGGCACATCTGTTTTATTTTCAGCCTCAGATTTTTGTTGTATTTTCTTTCCTTCATGCTTTTGCTGTTCTCCAGTGGATACTGTGTAAAGCAAGACAAAGCCTGGTATATGAGATATTCTATAGCAGCCCTAAACAGCATTTACAGGAAATTCCTTTCCACTGTTGAAGTGTCTGTGGTTGAAGTGGTAGCGAATTTAGCTGCTAATATCTGTCTCAGTTGAGTCTATGAACTACAGTTTTTCAAAGGTTTGGAATTGCTGAGCTGGGATGGCCTTTCACCAGGATAAATGTATAAATGCATATACGTAACAGAAAGGCCTCTTCTCCACCTTTCAGTACCTGTTTCAGAGTATGGAAGCACTAATGCTTTTTAAATGTTGTAATTTTTAATGAAAAAAATTTATTTAATTAACTTTGAAGTGAAATTCCTGCCCCATTTTGGTTGAAAATACAACTAGGAAAGAAAGTCAGAATGGCAGACTTCAGCCCTAATGGCTGGAGTTTGGCATCAGGGCAAACCAGCACTTTTATATTATTGTGTGATGTTTAGATATTATTATTGGTGCATAAGTCCTTTGTAATACAAGTGAAACAAACTACATATTTATAAACATAAATAGAAATAAGCTTCTAAACAGGGTGTTCAAAATGCGAAGAGAATGCACTCTGTATACGAAGCATAAGTATTTCATTCTTTTTTTAGGTCCTGCCCTAAGTGTGAAAGTTATGACCGATGAGAGTGGAAAATCCAAAGGCTTTGGCTTCGTTAGTTTTGAAAGACATGAAGATGCCCAAAAAGTAAGCTTTTGGACTTCATTTTAGGAATTCTATAACTGAGACCCAAACAATGTATTTTGTTGATTGATTTGAAGTCTTCTGGATTCATTAAGGGTTTTTAGTTGGTCAAAGACACTGTAAAACCAGGTGTCAGCTTCCTAAATGACTTAGTGTAGTTTCTGTCAGTTAAAATGCTTTCTTATGAGCAAATGTCAGTTGATTTGAGGAGCCTGTTACAGTAAGATACTCTGAGACAGCTGGAACTGGTGTAGAAATAGGGCATCTTGATTATTTAATAACCTGTTCTAGTTGGGCTTAAAGGTCTCAGTGAGATTTAGACTCCCTCATGCTGGGCAACATACAAGCATCATAAATTATTGTATCCCTGCAAAACCCCAGTGAACCATTGGACCCCATTTGGTTGCACAAGGCATTTGTGCAAGGCAGAAAGGATTGTGTTTTCAAACTTCAGGAAAGCTATTAGTTTTATGAAGCATGTTTGGCACAGCTATGAGAAAATAGTCATAGAGCCCTGTGATGTTGCTTTTACTCTGAAGAGTAACTTTGGAATAGGGTCCTTTTAATTCATGTACATGTTTGTAACATGCCAGTATTCTGCGTAACTTAATTCTGTGCAAGCGGGTTGCTTTGATGTGTCAGTTGCCTGTGGCAGTAGGGACATAGCATCAGGAGAAAACTCAGCACAGAACAAATCAGGGCAACAAATGAAGTTTGCTTTTCAAAGGGCATTACTGTGATTTGTCAGTAGTGCAAGTGTACGAGCAAGAGATTAGAACAAACCCTGTCTTAAATCTACATTGTTCAGTCTTGCATACATTCATTGATGAATTGTTTCTCTTCCAGTAGTCAGAATCCACAGGTAGAATGTTTTAAATAACATAAAATTCTAATATCTCAGTTGATATGTTTTTAATGGCTTTGATTATGAAGGTATACAATAAACAGGTGACTTCTGGTTTTACATTAATTGAATAAATCTGTGCCAGAGTTCTCCCATCTTGATAGTTGTAACTCAAAAGAGTGTAAAGGGAAGAAAGTTCGTATTTTCGTACTCTTTAAATACTCCTTAATAAAAGATTAAAAATGAAAAAGAAAAAAAAGCCAAATGTGCCAGCTGAGCTTAACATAGACTAAGGAAAACCTGGTAGATACTACAGTTTCACATGTTACTTTTTTAAAATCAGAAGTGTGAATTAGAGCTTTTCAATGTAATTTCCTTTGCCTTTCGCAAGATAAGGCTGAATAAATAGTTCTTCATTGTGTGACTTGATTTTTTTATATTATTTTTTCCAACTTCATATAAAAAATTTTTTTTGCATCCCTTATGACTTTTCTTTAACTGGACAGAAGCACACTCAGAAAGCAATTTGCATTTTACTTTAAGCAGGGAAATCTTGGGTTATTTTGTTTCAGCTAGTCATATCTTAGATGGATTGGCCCTTTTTCTGCAATCCTTATGTAACTTTTTACCTTGTAATTACTTTTTTTTGTTTTAATGTCTGAAAAACACTGTAATACAAAGCACTGCTAACCTCTTTTTTGTTAATGAAGGCTGTAGATGAAATGAATGGGAAAGAGCTCAATGGGAAACAAATCTATGTTGGCCGGGCTCAGAAAAAGGTGGAAAGACAGACGGAGCTGAAGCGCAAGTTTGAACAAATGAAGCAGGACAGGATCACCAGATACCAGGTTTGTTTTAATTCAAGAGGACTAACTTTAATCTATGATATTTTTAGATTTACATGGACCATTTGCTTTCAAAAATAACTTGCTTTTGTTTTAGGGTGTAAACCTTTATGTGAAAAATCTTGATGATGGGATTGATGATGAACGTCTTCGAAAAGAATTCTCCCCATTTGGTACAATCACTAGTGCAAAGGTAAAGTTTATAGATTGTGCTCGTCCTTTCTCTGAAAATGAACAGACATCTTTTCAGTGCAATAACTTGCTCATTATTGCTTCACTGAGGTTTTCATCTGTATTCAGTGAACAATTAGCTATTAAGCAACCATATTCCTTTTTATAAATCAATTCAATAAAACAAATCTGTGGTCTCACTTCTAGTAAGCTGAAAGAAGAAACTCATACAAGTTGGGTAGGGGTAGATACAACATTCTCTCGTCTTAAAACTAAATTTTATATTGCCAGGTCATGATGGAAGGTGGCCGCAGCAAAGGATTTGGATTTGTATGCTTTTCATCACCAGAAGAAGCCACCAAAGCTGTCACAGAAATGAACGGTAGAATTGTGGCTACTAAACCATTATATGTAGCTCTAGCCCAGCGTAAAGAAGAGCGCCAAGCTCATCTCACCAACCAGTATATGCAGAGAATGGCAAGTGTAAGAGCAGTACCTAATCCTGTAATCAACCCCTACCAGCCAGCGCCTCCTTCAGGTTACTTCATGGCAGCTATCCCACAGGTACGTGCAGGGATGAGTAACTGAATTTTTGTACTGTGTATAAAATCTGTTTGGTTTAACAGTAAATATAAGTATTAGCATGTGTCCATGATTTCAGAGCAGAAAGGTGATGTGCTGTGCAACAAGCCCTTCAAAGATAACAAAGTTGCACACTGTTTTTATATTTGACAGACTCAGAACCGTGCTGCGTACTATCCTACTAATCAGCTTGCTCAACTTGCTAGACCTAGTCCTCGCTGGACTGCTCAGGGTGCCAGACCTCATCGTAAGTCACTTTACCTCTTTCCAGTGATAGTGGGGAAACTCTATAACGTTTAGCTTTGTGCTTCTAAATACACAGCATTAGAATAACAGTCTTTGTCATGTTAGTGGTGCTACTTCTGAACTCTTCTCAACATTCAGTGTTTCGGCATGTAATGCAATATCTATTTTTTCTAACCCACAGCATTCCAAAACATGCCTGGTGCTATCCGCCCAGCAGCACCCAGACCACCATTTAGTACCATGAGACCGGCTTCTTCACAAGTTCCACGAGTCATGTCAACACAACGTGTTGGTGAGTTTGATTTATGCAAACTTTGAGTATTAGACTTCTTTTTTAATTTTGCTGATTCAGAATGATCTCTCAAGAGCATTCGTAAGTTCAACACCACGTGTGGTAACACTTCCCTCCTTTTCTGGCTCTTACTAAATGAATAAACTAGTATCACCTTCTAGTAGTGGTTTCAAATATTGTCCCAGCAAAGACTCCTGCTGTGGTCCTGTCTCTTTAGCGTGAAGCATTTCTTCTTTTAGTGTGCGCTTTAATAATACTGTATGACAGCTGCTGCCATTTCTAAACATCATTGTGGCAATTGTAATAATAGGTTGCATGTAGAAACACTGAGATGATACATTTTAGCTCTTATTATTTTGTCATAGGATACTGTGGGCCTGTGTCATGTATGCAGAATCTGCACATCACTGAATGAACCAGAATTGGTTGTAATGGAGTCTTAATTTTCTTGGAATGTATTAGGCAGTAGTATTTTTTAGCTACCTACTTCATGAAAGTATCTATTTTAGGGTGACTGTTTATATAATGTGCTCAAGAAATCAAATGTCCTTTGAGGTTAGAATGAACTTAAATTAATACTCAACCAAAGTGAATGTTTTCTCAGGGATCTTTCAATAGCATGTAAGAAAAGCAATTAGTGAGTGAAGGGTCTGGAAAGTAACATCCAGTAAACTTCGAGCTTTGAACCTTCAGATATGTTCAGTGATGTGACAGTTGACAATACTACTGAGATGAATCTATAATACAATACCTAAATCAGGTATTCAGGTATTCAGTTTGGGTTGATTTGTTGTTTGTTTTTTTTTTTTTTTTTTTCAACTTGTACAGTGTAAGCTAAATAAAAAATTGAATTATTCACATATGGAATTATATTGTTTTTTTCAGCTAATACATCAACACAAACGATGGGTCCACGTCCTGCAGCAGCAGCTACTGCAGCTACTCCTGCTGTACGCACAGTACCACAATACAAATATGCTGCAGGTGTTCGTAATCCTCAACAGCATCTTAATACACAGCCACAGGTTGCTATGCAGCAGGTATGTAATTTTAAGAACCGGTCCATGCTTTTCTTGGTGTTTTTTGCAGAGGAAGGAGGGGGGGCTTATGATTAAGAGTTGTCTTTGTTATTCTAGAATTCAGGCTCTGCATTATGGCAGCAGAGCTATAGCCTTGGGGTTTCAAGTATATCTCAAGTTCACCTGGGGCAGGATATAATCCTGTTACTTCATATTTTCCAGTTGCTCGATACCTTAGCCTGAATTTTCCTTGTGTTTGCTCCACAGTGGAGCAGTTGATACTAATCTCCAGCATCACTCAGCTCTAACCAGTGCTATTTGGTTAAACTGACTTGGTTGTAATTTCTTCCATGTTTCTGACAGTGTTGGCATTGTTTATGCTAAGTTGTGAAACATTAGGTATTTGAAGCTGCACCTAATTATGAATTAGAATTTAATTTTGAAATGGTGTTAAATGAATTTGCAGCCTGCTGTCCATGTGCAAGGTCAGGAACCCTTGACTGCTTCCATGTTGGCTTCTGCCCCTCCGCAAGAACAAAAGCAGATGTTAGGTACGTACATGATATCTCTGTGCCTTGTAGCAGGACAGTCAAAGTACTCTTTTTTGAATCTTAAAATGCAGAATAAATAGTTTTAGCAGTAGAACAGGGTGTTTGTTTCCCTTTTCCCTTAAATCTAGGCTGTGTGTATCCAATGAGATTTGTCACTCTGATTAACTTTTTTCTCTCTAGGTGAACGTCTATTTCCTCTCATTCAAAGCATGCACCCTACTCTGGCGGGTAAGATCACTGGTATGTTGTTGGAGATTGACAACTCTGAACTCCTCCACATGCTCGAGTCTCCTGAGTCTCTTCGTTCGAAGGTAGGTGGACTTTTGCCTTACACTAGTTTTATTGGCAATGAAGTCTACACTGATTTAGCAGGTGCTTATGCTGGCACAGTGGAGTAGCAGCAATGCAACAGTGGCCCAGGGCGAGAAGTTAGAATACCCTCTTTCAGAACATTACAGTTCCAGTTCGTGCTAATCCTTTTTAACAGTGCAGGCATTGTTTGTATGTATAATTTAAACTGTTTTATTAACTTAAATATACAGAAATTACTAAGCTTCCCTGTATTAATTTTTCTTTTTCACTTAACAGGTTGATGAAGCTGTAGCCGTACTACAAGCCCACCAAGCTAAAGAGGCTGCTCAAAAGGCAGTTAATAATCCCACTGGGGTTCCAAGTGTTTAATAAGTAAGTTTTCTGAGCAATGTAGTTTTATGGGTTGACTGGGACAATAGTCTTTAGTCCATGGCCTTGTAAGCAGCATGCTTCCAGGCTCTGTATCATTTGCAGCCACAGAAAGTAGCAGCTGTGGTCACAGTTGTAAACAAATTTTGTGTTCAAGCCTGTCATCCAGTTCTGTAGCTCTTGGTTAGCAAATGCTACTGACATTTTGGTTTGCATATTTAACTGCAATTAAAGCATTGTTTTTAACAGCATATTTAGCTAAAATTAGTTTTAGGCATACATGCAAAAATGGGCAGTTCTGTCAAATACTGCTGTTCATGCTGTCATTCAAGAGGAACTTGTAGAATTGAAGTCAGCTTAAAAGGATACTCCAACCCTATTTTTCCTTAGAAATTGAATAGCTTATTTAAACTATAATTTGTATATACTTGCCAAAATCTAAAATTACACAGTAATTAAAAACTAAGCTGCATATTGTCTTGACTTCATTTTTTGATGAATTTAACTTTAATGTCAATTAAAATACTGATTTTATTTATTCCCTTATGTGGGGATAGCATCTTAATTTTGCATGACAGGAAGAGGCAAAAGGTGGTATCTTTACAATTTTGAAAGGACAAAAATGTTGTGGAGTATGATATAAGAGTCTATTCTCTATACAAGTTAGTTACAGTAACAAGGATTGTGTGTGGCCATTGCCCAAGGCCTGCTGTGCAGAGTGCTGCTTAGTTCTAGACTCAGTTTTGTCTTACCAAGTATCACATGCTTGGGATACTTCCATATCTCTAAAAAGTGTGGGGAATGCCTGATACACTGCTTGTGAAGAACTTTGGTACAATTGATACCGTGAAAGCCCAAAGTGCTGTTGGGCTTACAGGTGCAGAAAGCATGTCAGAAAACATAAGGTGCTGCTTTAATTTTAAAACCTAACAACATTCTTCTTGTTTGCAGAAAGATCCGGGACTACAATCTAGAACTTCGCTTCACCGAAGAAAAAAAAATCTAAACATGGAAAAACTATTAAATATTGAGAAAAACATTGCAAAATATAAAATAAATAAAAAAAGGAAAGGAAACGTTGAAGCTTATGTACAGAGCAACGCCGGGGCTAGCAAAACAAGTGCTAGTCCTAGATTACTTATCGATTTAAAATTTAAAAAAAAATAGTAAAATAAAAAATACAAATTAATGTTTTATAAACCCGGGGGAAAAGAATTTTCAGCACAGTAAAAAAAATTTAAAGCATTCCTTTCTTTAATTTTGTAATTCTTTACTGTGGAAAAGCTCAGAATATCACCACTGTTTTAGTTGACAGTGAGAATTGATAGCTGAGCAAAGAAACATAATTTGGATTATAAAATTCTTGGTTTAATAAAAATTCCTTAAACACTGACTTACTTGTGATGGTTTCTTTTGTACAGAGTCCTTCTGATAAGGTTGTCATTGAGTGCCAAGTTAGAATCCTGCTCTGTAGTATGTTTTAGCAATTTCTAGAGGAGATTAGCCTACATTAGTCACCTGTTACTGATAATATGAACTTGGGCATTAAAACAAATGAAAAGAGGAGCTAGATCCGTATCTGGGTTTTAAATCTGTAATAGCATGATGTCTGAGCTCTTGTCTAATTACAGACAGACCTTTAAATACCCTCCTTTGAGGTGATCAGTAAGAAATTCCAACAATTGTGTAACATACCAATGTGTGATGCTGTTTGACCACCTGCACGTGGTGCTCATTCTCACAGGGTTTGGTGGAAGGAACGATCTCTGTGTAGGTCTCCAGCTGTGTCTTTAGACCGTTAATGAACCCTGAGATGGAGGCACTCATATAGATACAGGTGAATGAGCAAGGATTGTCTGCAACAGACAGCGTTGCAAAGTTCTGTTATTGTGAACGTATGAACACAGGCATTCTTTGAACAAAAAAGGTAAGGTTTCAGGTGGTAATGTATTAAAAATGGAATGCACACTAACCAAAAGATCATGGTTTTTATACAGTAAAAATCCTGGTGTGAGCAGGTCTGCTTAATCCCCTGAGTCAGGCATTTCTGTGTTCCCTAACAAGTGAATGGTTACTCTGAGCTTTTTCCTCTGTTAGTAAGAGACCAGTTGGTTTAATTTTAGCTTTGCTACATTTTGGGTTTTTTAATGCGCTGAAAAAATCCATCTTGTCAGTGGCACTTTTGAAAGTCTCAGCTAGTAATAAAATTATTGAATTATTACTGAAAAAATACAGTTAGGGTGCTTTAAATCTGCAGATTTGAAAACTGAAAAAGTGAGCTGAATTTGAATGCTGTTCTTTATTACTTAATATTCACTACAAAGATCTTTTCAGTAACTTCCAGTTACAATGTGTCACAGAGCTCTGCATACAGTGAGCTTAGGCAAAACTTGGTAGGTTTTTTATCAAATTTGGGAATGGTGAAATAATTCTATCAGTTTTACTGGTTCCAGGAATCTGCTTCTTCCTGCAAAAGGTGACCTTCCTGGTTCATCCTTATATTTGACTGTCATCTAGTATTGAGGTGGGGGGAGAGTGCCTTTTTAAAATAAATTGCTGCTTGATCTAATTCTGATCTAGTGTGCAATAAATACCATAGAAATAATCCTGCCTTTACTCAGGGCTGATAGGACTTTCAGATCAGCTTGTGTGTTAGTAAGCTTTTGATGCAGTACAAACTTTCACTGTGTAAGTTAGCGGATACATTGTCCATCTACAGATGGGTTATCATCCTACAGTTGCTGCCTTGCTTTTTTTACCTGTTCCTTTAAGGGAGTGCTTTCTGTAGACTTGCAGAATATGAGAGGCATTTTCTACCCAGTTTAGCCCGTAAGTGGCTCTGTAAGCTGCTTAATCAAAATAGACAGCGCAGGGGGAGAAAGGAAACGGTGAAGATGGCATGTCCTTCTACAGACCAGAGAGAAAAACCTGTCAGGCGGGGATGGAGGAGAGGAAAGAGCTGTTAGTCATGGAGGAGGGCGTGACCCTTAGCCACGGGGATCCATTGGGATACAGTTGCTGTGTTTAAAGGATACAGTTTCTATATAATCACAGGAAGGAGTAAGTTCTTTCTGGAAGGATCTCTGAAATAGGTGTTTTAGGGGGGAAATGCCAGTGTTCCCTGGAGCTATTGTTGCAATCTTAAAGCCTTTCAGTATGCTTTCTGAAGTCCCCTGATAGACAATTCAAGAGTGCCTGTGTTTTTCCCCTTGTGCGAAGATCTTCAGAACAGATTTTTTTCTGTTAAGTGAATTTGAGAAATAAACCTAGCATAGAGAGGTGAATTTGGTCTGGCATAAATGCATCCTATTTAAAACTACTTCTCTGTAAAAACAGGTTAAGCTTGTACAATTCTTACGTTTGGTCCTGTTTGGATGGAGGCAGACTGGGTGAGCCTTTAATTTGCAGACTTGCTGAAGTGTATGACTACAACTAAAAATTTTCTGAAATTGGATGGTAAATCCTACAAAGGAGGTGGGTCAGACAAGATACGTACATAAGAGGTTGAATGTACAAACATAATTTTATGTAATGTCAACTATAAAAACAATAAAGCTTTGGAGCGTTTCAAAGACCTAAAAGTATTTAGCACCATAATAAAAAAAAAGTTGAAGAATTGGATTATATTAAAGGTTTAATAGGATGTCTAAAGGATGATATGAAGACCTAACTATTTGCAGGAGTTTCAGGGCCCTAGCAGAAAAGTAAGAGCCCACCTCCCTTCTGCTTGTTTCCCCAGATGAGAGGTAATGTGTCTTTGGTGAGTCTGCTGGAGTTAAACCAAGCTATTTTTTATGTTTCCTAAGAATGTGCAACGTATTTAACATCTAGCACATGGGGAAACTGAAAAAGGAGGAAAAGAGGGGTTCTTCCAGGTTTGTTCAAGACTTTTGTGGGTGTGTCAAGCACTAGCATCTGTACCAGCCTGAAATACCAGTTAACTTTTTTGACGGAAAGAAAGAGTGAGGCAATTCTGCTGAGGCAGGTGATCATGACAGCTTAAGAAAACAAAACCTTGGCTTGGTTGGATTTATTTCTTCTTACTCTTGATTACATGATAATTCGCCACTGTATACCACAGATGCCTATTTAATGTCTTTTTTTTTTTTAAATCTTGGAGATTGTGAACAATGTGTCTGTTAGTGCCTCTATCAATGTTATCTTTAGAGTACTACTGTCAAACAATGCACCACACAGAAAAATCCATTTATACAATAGAGGTAGAGCATTGTTCCCTTGGGTTGACAGGCAGCCCAACTGGCAGCCGCCTCCTGCCCCACGTTCCCTCTAGCCTGTGTCAGAGGCTTATGCTGATCCTCTACCACCCTGCAGCCACACAGTGCTAAGCTAATTTTGCTGGATTCTCTGGTATTTCATTCCTTCAGTCATTCTCCGTCTTCCATTCTAACCAGAGCAAACATTTCAGAGTTCAGCAGCAGCCAAAAGCCTGCTCCTGAAATGGATGGTGATTTGGATGAATGAATGGTTCTATACTCACCATCTGCTTTCCCAAGCAGAATGTGGCTTTTTGGGCAACTAAATCAAAGGTTTGGGGCAGGGGTAATATCTGGACTACATGCATTCTCTTTGCTGCTCTGCAGAAGTATAGGAAACTTGGATTTCACTGGGTCCTGGGGGAGGAGGGGACAAGGTGGTAGAAATCAAGATGTTCCTGAGTCAGGCAATGTCATTATAGTTGCCAGTTTCTGCTAATTACATGTCTACCCTTGAATAAAAGACATCTTCAGTCCATGCACCTAAATGCATTTCCTTCTCAGAAGCATTGTTAATTATTGCTGTGGACAATTGGATGTTGAAAGACAGCCACTTATCATTTTGGATTAGGATTCTCTGCAAAAAGGTTTTCAAAGTTCTTCATCTAATAGACATATTTCTTCTTGGAATAACTGGGGGTGGGGAGGAACCTCCCAAAAAAACAGCCAGGATTTGTATTTATTCTCAATATGTGCAGCAGTTGTGCTCCCAGCTGACATGCTAGAGAGAACCACAGTCTTGTACTTGGGACCACAATTCACTAGGCTTTCATAGTTTTGTGTTTCTGGCCGTCCTGCTTGGGATTAAGAAGGACGCTCCATTTCTACGGTTGATCCTTCCATTGGAGTTGCTCCCCTAACACGAACAACATTTTCACTCCCTGCTGGAGCAGTTTAGTGCATTCTTTGTAGCTTCCCACGTACAAGAGTTGCCTCTGAGAGGCAATTCAAGGTTAGAAAGGTCTCCTGAGTAAATCCAGTCTACCTCTGCAAAGGAAAGCTTCTAGTCCTTCTGACCTCCTGTAGGATGTGGTCGATAATGATGGGTAGTAGCTGTATCCAAATGTAAATGCAGCTGGCAGGGTTACAAGTCCTTAGGTCATGGGATTTGAAGTGAAAACAAATTTGAAACAAATGTTTTCAGGTACACTAAGACCACAAGTTGCACCTGTAGTTGGAGCTCCCTTTGAAGGACTTGGGCAACAAGAATAAAGGAAAGAATATTTTCCAAAAAATTATTTGAAACTTTTCTTAGATTTTTCACTCATATTGGGACTGAATGTTATCATTAAGAAAAAAAGGAAATGACAAGCTGGGCCAACATAGTGGGGCTGTTGTTAAATGCTAAGAGCAGTATATTCGTGCCAAACAATCTGCTTCCCATGTAACCTGCTGAAGAAGCATCCCTAATCAAGTCATGTTCCAGCTGGCTATTGCTGTCCAGAGGTATGTGCCTTTTTATACCTCTGAGCACACTTTAAAATATACCATGCGATATCTGAGCATTCAGAAAACAAAAATGATGCCCTGGGCAGGCTGACTGGTGGTGTCACATCGCAGTGACTGGGACTGTGTGTTACACACGATCTAGGTTAAACTTGTAGTCAGCAGATGATGTAAAACAGAGAGTACAGCTCAAAAAGTGGGCCCCAAATATGTCGCGTTGTCACATCGGTGAGCGGAAGCTCGCTTAATCTTGTGTCCTGCCACTGTTAAGAGAGATTTGCCACCAAGGGTAGCTCAGTTTCCCCTCCTGTAGTTTTCCAGAGGAAAAGAAGAAAAATAATCAAACATGTTACACAATGTTATTTTACTTTTCTCCATTTTGTCCAGAATGCCCACAGTTAATCCTGTTTCATGGAAAATACACCCAAACCTTGTTCCACTGGGTTAGGTGGTCGGTTAGTGAATCACAGCTTTCCTGAAACAATTTTCTTCCTCTGACAAAGGGCCTTTTGGTGAGGCCAAATACGCTGCACTTTGACCTCAGGGAGGCACTGCTGAAAAAAAGACTTTCTTTTCTTATAAACCTGCCGTGTACCCCTTTCACCAGACTGTCCCAAGTTGCCGTGCCTTGAAAAACAGCGAATTACCGGAACTTCGCAGTGAATTGTCACTG